TACCCTACCATACAGGATCTACGATCTGTTGCCCCGTGTCCTTCAATGAACGGAGAGAAAAGGATTTTACGGTGAGTACAAAAATACTATTTTTTTCTTTTTTTTTTCTTTTCTGTTATTTTTACTTTTAAAATTCCCGCCGGTTCCGCCTCCTTGCGACGTGGACGTTCGCAAGTGAACTCTTAAGACAAATCGTTTGTGCACTGTGTTGGTGTTTGTGTTGTGATAAAATGATACAGGCATACATTTAATCACAGCGTATGAGTCCTCAATCTCTTTTTCTGCAGCTTCAACACTCAATGAATGGAAAGCACTGAGTACAGTGGCTTCCCATTAATAACTGGTGATAATAAAACAATTACTTTCCACCAGTTAATGAATGGGTAGACGCATGTATACTGAGGCTTCCAACCCATTGAGAAACTCATGAATGAACAGGAAGTGATGTAAAACAGTTGTGTTCCGCCGTATGCCATACGTCGGGGGCAGCGAAAGGGTTAATATTGAGAAGTGTAAGGTTATGCATTTTTGGAGGTAAAAATACGCAAGCAATCTACTCATTAATGGGCACTACACTGAGGGAATCAGAGGTGTAAAAAGATTTGGGAGTCCAAGTGGACATCTGCCTAAAGCTGGCCATACACCTACAGATTATCTGCAGATTTTCTATGGTCAGATGGAAAAAGTGCAACAGATTACTCCATCTACTCTAATCTGTGTGGATGGAGGAATCGCCCATTGGGCCAAGCTTCAGTATCTTGCTAGTCGGCCCAGCTGGCTCTCAAAATACCCGAACAATGCCTGTATCCAATCAAATCCATAATTCTGCCACTGTACAAAACACTAGTTCGGCCTCATCTTGATTTGCAGTTCAGTTTTGGTTACCGATCCACAGAAAGGATGTCCTTAAGCTGGAGAGAGTCCAGAGAAAGGCAACAAAGCTAATACAGGGGTTAGAGGACCTAAAGTATGAGGAAAGACTGCATGCTTTAAACTTGTTCACTCTTGAAAAGAGATGACTGAGAGGGGACATGATATTAATGTACAAATTGTTTGATGGGATGGTGATGGGATAATTAGTAATAAACTGTTTTGACTGTAAGTTCAGTCAAGAACTAACAGTAAACCTGAATCTGGAATAGAAAAGGTTTCATCTTAAACAGCAAAAGGGATACTCTATTGTGAGAGCTGTAAAATTGTGGAACTTGCTTCCACAGGCAGTGGTTTCAGCTGAGAGTATGGAGTCATTCAAGACCCGTCTAGATTCTTTTGTCAGTGAGCAAGATATACAGGGATACAGGTAATCTTAGTAACTCACACAAACACAACCAAAAGGTTGAATTCGATGGACCTGTGTCGGTATTCCGTATATGCGGCGGTGACACTGTGATAGTGTAGAGTGTATTGATCTTTATGAGGTGTTGGGGGGGGGGCAAGTTGATATTGTATCAATCAATTTGCGTTACTGTACGATCTGCACTGTGTTAGTACATTAATTTGTTGGGGAGCACTGTGGGATAATGCACTAATCAGTTAGAAGGCACTTTGATCCTGTGATAGTGTGTGCATCAGTTAGGGGCACTGTGCCTGCTGGCGAACTGCAATACTGAGTAACTGCAAGTCACTTTATAAAAAGTAATGAGAAAGTTAGTAAACACATAAATCTTGAGCATTCCCATTAGGAAATAATAGTCATGACCTCCATGAATGGTGATACTACCCGGTGCATACCTTGCTCCATGTATGCATAACTTGAGCACTCAAGGGTGAATACTGCTATGTGAGGTGTGAGCTCTTTGTTTGCTTGGAAGGTCAGATCCTGGATCAAAAAAATCAACTAGCAAAACTAAGCATTAACAATATGCAGAAGAGTTTGGACCCTACACATCAGATGCTGGCTGGGCCCAGTATAGAGGAGGGTGGGGATATGGAGGTGCAGGATCCAGAGGTGGGTAGCTGGGTAACAGAAGGCAGGGTAGAGGAAAAAGCGTTAGAGGGGGTAGTCCATATAGCATCACTTCCGGTCCCATAGCTGTCAGTGCTGGGCTTCTGAAGCCCAGCTATAAGCTATTGAAATTATTAAAATGAATGTAAAAAGAATTTTTCAAAAATGTTAAAGTCCCCCGAGAGCACGTGCGTCTTTACGTAAACATGTGTCGGGTGCGCCTACGTATGAAAACGACAATCACGCTACACATGTAGGGTATCTCCGCGCACGCCGGACTGAGGGCAATAATTCTAGGGCCAGTATTTTTGGGTATCTCCAAACTGAAGACCTGTGTGGGCTTTTAAAGCGTCGTGGACTTTTTGGGGTACTGAAGTTTTCACGGACGCACACAATTTTTAACCTGAGCATGTTGGGTATCTATTTACTCGTTGTAACCTCCTCTTTTATATTTTATTTTAAAAATGGGTATTTTATTGTGTTTTGGGGCATTTAAGTGCATTCTTCACTACATTTTGAGGTTTGATCAGGAGTTGTGATAATATCGTGCAACATAAAAAATTGCACCTGCCACCATTTTATTCTATAGGGTCTTGGCTTTCAGAAAATATATGTTTGGGGGTTTTAAGTAATTTTCAGGCCCAAAATGTGGAATATAACATGGGTGCAATAAATAAAAAAAATGCCTCAGTCAGGGGTTAAAAAATCTGCATGTGTTGACGTTATCATTAGTACTAACCAGCATGGATTTATGAAAGTTCATTCTTGCCAGACAAGTCTTTCTATACTTTGCAAAGGCATTTGATACAGTACCCCACAAATGGTTAATTTACAAACAAAGGTCGATTGGCATTGAAAGAAACTGTATGTACATGGGTAGAAAACTGGTTGCAGGACCGCATTGAGAGGGTAGTGATAAATGGCTCATTCTCAAAATGGACCTTAGTGCAGTGCCCCAGGGTTCAGTCCTGGGGCCAATTCAGTTTATCCTATTCATAAATAATATAGAGGTGGAAATAGTTCGTAACAAGACATAGAATCCCTGGAGCAAGACCTTGGGAAAATTAAGGAGTGGGCAGCAACTTGGCAGATAAGTTTTAATCCAGATACTTGTAAAGTCATGAGCTAAGAACATGTATGCAGACTACACATTGGGAGGAGTTTTGCTGGAGAAAATCAGAGATGGGAAAAGATCTGGGGGTCCTTATAGACCACAAACTTAGCAATTGCATGCAATGCCAAGCTGCAATCAATAAAACAAGTAAAATACTAACTTGTATTAAAAGAGGGATTTTTTCACGGGATAGAAATATAATTTTACCACTTTACAAAACACTGGTAAGGCCCTATCTTACGTACGCAGTTCAATTTTGGTCACCTATCCTTAGCCGGGATGTCCATGAGCTATAGAAAGTTCAGAGATTGGCAACTAAATTAATAAGAGCGATGGAGGGCCTGAGTTATCAAGAATGCCTACAAAATGTAAATTTGTTCTCCTTGGAGAAGAGATGCTTAAGAGGCAATGTAATCTCAATTTACAAACTTGTCAATGGGGACAGCAGTATTGGGAATGCACTACTTAAACCAAGAACTTTGAGGAACGTGCAAGGGCACACCAAGATGTTTAAGGGGATGCGGTATAATCGTAAGCTGCACAAGGGTTTTGTTTTTTCACTGTGAGAATGGGAAGAATGTGGAATTCACTTCCACAGATAGTTATGTCGGTGGAGAACATAAACAGCTTAAAAAAAAAACACTTGGATGAGTTCCTTAGTCTAAAAAAACAAACAGGATTATGGGAATTCCTAGCAATACACACAAACACAAAATATAGATGGACGTGTGTCTTTATTCAACTTCACCGACTATGTAACTATGAGTTTTTTCTTTAGAACCTATAGTGTATTTGGACTGTCATGTCTTCGGAAATGTACAGAATGTGTCCTGTTTCATTTTTGCATCCATATATATTTCTGTTCATTTCTAATGCTGTTTATAATGTTAATTCCTGTTTCAAGTGAGGAATCCAAGTAAAGTCTATTTGTAATTAGATTCAGATTTCCGTAAGTGATGTTTATACCAAATCAAAGCAACCATGAATTTGATAGAGGTTCTCATCCATTGATATGAGTTACAAAACACCACTGTTCTTTGCATTTTTAAATAATTTAAATATTTTTCTTCACCTGTTTTTCTTTTTTGTGTATGGATGTATAAACAATTAATACTGCTAACTCTGCTGAGCAACAGCCACTGGCCTTTAGTCAACACTTATCATAATCAATTGTTATATATTATATCACAATACATTTATTTTTAAATTAATTTAATAGGTTTAGGTTTTGCAATACAAAAAACAAGAATAATTCATCTTTTACTGGTGTACTACTCAAGTGCACCCATGATGCAGAGCTGTTTTTGTTTTGTTTTTGTTAGATAACTTAGGGAAGGATTAAACTCTTTCTTATGTTTTAATTGCTGTCTGTAAAACTTTCTAGCAAGATTCACCCTTCTATTTGTCCCGGTGACTAAAACAGAAAGTGAGGGGAAATTCAGAATACTTAAATTGTCATCAGAACAAGAGGTGAAGGAAAAATTGGGGACATCCATTCTTGTTACAACTAAAATTGGACATATGTTCACTTTGGGAAGGTTCCTCTTATTTCTTCTTGCATCCCCAGGACAGGTAAAAATAAATCTCCCCTGCAGGACACAGCACGCAGAAATAATCCTTTTCTACTCTATAGTCAAAAGTTTTCACTTGAAGTTTTTCTTGGTCCGTTTAAACTTTGAAATCTGTTTTTTTTTTAACTCGTATGTTCCTCTATAATGGTGCTAAATGGCTGCCTTTACCTTATCTATATGGTCAATTATAGTCTATCTTGAAAATTAAAACTGCTAACAAAATATCCCACTGTTTCTCTTTTGTAGACTTAGAAGAATAATATTGCCTTCTAGAGAGATACAATGCACATAAGTTATTTTTAGTTTCAGTAGAGAACACCTAAAGTTTATTGCCTTTACCTAATATGTCTTCTCTCCCTCTTTTCCCAAGGGATGCCATTATTAAATGCTTTTCCAGCTGTTTGAATTGAAGTGCAAACACAAGATTGTTGTTGCAAAAATGGATGGACCATTCTGACACCGCTTTTTTGTGCAAAGCACAAATATATGATTTCAGTAAACAAGAGTTTTTTTCTAAATGTATATTTACGGTGATATGTTGGTTGTAGCTACTGCATTTGAATCTTTTCTAGACTCTTCTCTTATTACTTCACAGTGTTCTACTTCAAACCTTATGCTAGTTTTAACAGATTTGAAGATTTAATTAATCTGCTTTTTTGTCTAGTCCTGTTGAAGTTAAAAAAGATTAGGTAAGGAAACTAAAAATATACATTTTAAAAAACAGGAATGTCCCAGCATATGTAAACAGCACTTTTGCAATCCCTAATAAAAGTTAACTACAATCTATAACATGTTAGCATTACAAAAAGTATATAACATTGTTAGTTTCTTTTATTAGCAGAGAAAATAAAAAAAAACCCACTGTGAACAGTGAAATCCTTCTTTGTAGCATCCATGATTTGCCTGTGTATTTTCGCCACCAATAATGCAGGAGGCATACTCATTAGATGTCATTTGACCCAATTTTCAGTAGGTCTAATAGTGCTTGTGTAACTTACAAAGAGACACAGGGGTCTGCAGCACCTTCGGACATTGGTTTTGCTAGACCTTCAGTGTCTGTGTGGCTCCTGGCTTTGCTTTCAGTCCATCTTCCTATCAAGCAGAGAAAGGGAGTTCCATTTTTTAGTATGCAGTTTCAATACCCATTACTCAGCTTATGGTCTATATACCCTGTAGTTAATTTACCACAAACATGTGGTGATATCTTGCACAGGTGGGGGTAAAACTTGCCAATAGCCCAGTAAAAAGTAGTAGAGAAAAGCTGAGAATGTAAAAATCTTTAATAGTTAAATCTGTATTTATTATTCTTGTTATTTTTAATAAAAAGAATAACAAAACAGTGATACATAAAGTACACAATGGTATAGAAAACATGACCTATGACGATATCATATTAACGACAATGCCAAACATCAGATAGTCTGTAATGTTAAAATCAAGTCTGAGTATAAAAGACAATAATGAATATGTCAGGGAAAATCGTATTAAGAAGGTCTTGTATACATGTATCAGGTGACAAGAAGAAAATATTAAAATAATAGAGGCATGAGTCTCACCACAATAGTACATCCCATGAGACAGTGAAGTTTAGAGTACATCGGAAGACCAAGGAAAAACAAACAAAGAAAGACCGGAGGTGTGACGGCCCACGTCAATTGGATTATGTCTCGGGAAAAGAGGACAGACCATATGGGCAAATTTGAAAAAACCTGGTCCCCCTGGATTGATAAGTACTACTCCTCACCAGCCTCTCGCCGACTCTGTGTTATATGAATGACCTCCAATACCCGACCTCCTGCGTCACACCTTCAAGTAGCCCGAAAACCTTTCTCACTCTTCCCTTTCTCTTTGTCTCTTCCTCCCCTATGTGTCCCTTTGTCCCCCTCCCTTGTCTTGTCCTGTCGGTTAGTTAAGCAGGGTGTAGCAGTTTGACACGCTTGGATACCCCAAAGGGGGGCACCACAGGCTATTTTTCCATTAGAGTGCATTTCTTTTCTCTACAAGCTGGGGCACCTCCGGCACCTGTGGGAATGGAGCCGGGGGCTTCGTTTGCTGAGAGCACGCCATGTTAAATAGTGGTGGAGACATCTCCACCCATACCAGAGTAGAGGGAAGCTTTACGCCAGTGCCCTGTGTTCAGACGCTATAAATGCAATGTAAACGCTATCCTGCCTGTCAATACATCAGTCACCTGTAGTTGTCACAGTTTGTACGACTGTCGTCTCAATAGCTGAGTGGCATTGCCGCTTTTTTTTCTGTCTCTGTCACAAGTATTCTACAATTTTGTACTCAATAAATCCAAACTGTCCACAAAGCATAAAAATTGTCCTACTTGTCAACTTTTATAGCCCAAAACTCCTCCATCCTCATAATCTTGTCCATAGTATTGACCCAGTGGGGGATAGACGGTAGATATAGATGTTTTCCAGAAATTTTGAATAACCTGACGTACTGCTGAAAAAATTAAATGAAGAATAGATCGTTTCAATCCCTTTTTGGACCCTGGATAGATAGACAAGAGAGCAGTTTCTGGGGAAGGTGTAAGGGTTTTACCATAGAGTTCTGAACTAGTATACAAAATGGATGACCAAAATTACTGAATTAACCTTCCTGGCGGTAATCAGAGTGTGGCTCCGGGTTAATTTTCAGTACCAAAAGCGGTAACCCCGAGACACACTCGGGATTACACTGTAGTGTCACTTACCTTGTCCCTACGAACCCCGCTGTGTCCGCCGGCTAATGCCGGCATCCGTCTTCCGGGTTCCTTCCCTGCCGGTGTCGCGCGCGCGTGGGGGGCGGAACCAGCGGGAAATTAAAAAGGAAAAATATTGAGATAATCAGACCACCAGGGAGGTTAAGGGACAATTCCACCATACGTGTAGGTATGTAGCCCTATTACCTCCGCATCGCCACCAAGTGTCAGGAGCATGAGGAAAAATATGGTGTATAGATACAGGATCCCTGTACCAGAGAGAGATAATTTTATAAATTTTCTCTTGCGTATAACATGAAACAGATGATTTGAGTGTGTGAAAGAAAGTCAATTCCCAATTCTCCACCGAAATGTTTGCCCAAATCCCTCTGCCATGACTCGCGGAACCCAGGTAAGCCAGCTGTATTATTTGAAGAGAAGTTTATAAAGGTAAGACAGAGTGTGTCGCGGTGGCTATGGTAAACTGCAAAGATGTTCGAAATCCTTAAGAGGCCTGCCTAACAAACCTGTGAAGTGGAGTAATCTACAGAAGGATATTAGTTGAGCCACCTCAAGCCATTTAATCTCCCGAGACAGTATGGGTTGCAGAGGTCTGAATTTACTTGTGGTAAGATCAACTAAATCTTAGTGAACAGAGTCACTGTTAGAATATAACTAACAATACTAAAAATGTTTATAGGGTATTATTCATATAGGGATTATGAATGAATGTTAAGAACATAAGTGATGATTGGTTTTCTATATATTCATTTGTTCAGTTTGGGAATATACGCAAGCAGACTAAAGTCCATGGTTTTGTTTGTCTAGAAAAAAGAAATACTAGAAGTTATTTGCTGCACATATGTTACTCATCAATCATGATGTTAGAGATGGCTAGAACCTCCCACATTCCTAATTACTGAGGAAGACAGTGTGAGGGTCGCTTTGCAGAATATTCTAAATCAAAGTTTATGAAGTGTTTACAAACTATGAATGATATCTCTTTACTGTAATATTTCTTGATTAAGTTATTCATATAAGAACATTGAATTATGTATAAATATTGATACATGCAACATTATATGGTTTATATGATAGTTGAATGCATTTTAACTTATAGTTAAGACAAGGAGAAAGGTGGGAGCATTCCTCCCATCCCCCTCTCCTACTAGTGGTCTTAAGAGTTTGATTTCAGCTGTGAGGAATCGTATGTCCCAGAACCGTTATGTTTTTAAAAGGCTATTCATGGCAGAAGGGCGGGACATTCTCACAAAGGAAAAATTGACCTATTCTCACATTCTAGAACACTTACACGCAGATACAAGATTCAGACACACACACAGATATTTTAAACTTTTACAAGAACTTACTTACATTTACATAACTTTTTATATTTTGTTTTATGCCATGTATCTTGTAAGCATTTGTAACTTTGTAATTAAACACATTTTTGAGTTTTATGCAAGAACAGAAGCAATTTTCTCTTTTCAACTTCTTCCACCCTATATCTTCAAGACAAATAATTTGATATAAAAAATAATATTCAATAGGGACTGAGCCTGTCATTGGAGATCTTTTAAACCAGGCACCGTATTTTGCGCTCAATAAGGCGCTCCGGTCTATAAGACGCAGGCATTCTGTGACAGGGATTCTGTGACAGAAGCTGCAGTTCTGTGACCGCTGGGACAGCGCCACGGTCTCAGTAATCACACAGAGCAGAGCGTCTGCTCAAGGGGCTCTATGGTGAGCTCCTATGCCGTCGTCACGGTCCCCCAGAGGACCATTGCTTGAACCGGCTTTGAAATCTTTATGCTTTTACTTTCTAACGGATATCCTAATGGACTGCATTCTATAAGACGCATTTTGGATATGTCTATTCGCTACTACTCTGCTGTGAAATACTCACTTTGATACTATACAGCAAAAGGAACATGGCTACATTTTGGAGTGCTACAAAATAATATGAAAGGATATATTACTATGTAAACAGGGACACATCAGCTGTCTGATTCACAGACTCAGGATCTGCATTACTCGTGGAGGGTAATTATAATATATACCATAAACTTTTTCAATCGAGCCATTGTAGGGAAAGCTCATTTTTAGGAAGTTTTAAATGTTAGTCCTATGTGGTTTTTTGTATTCAATTTTCTATGAAATTAAAACTTTGATATGATATTACACTTTTTGATACTTTAATTACTATAATACATTTAGCTCTATGGCGGGATCTCCTCTTGTTTAAGGGAACCCTACTTTTTCATATTATTCAGGAGACCCAGGAGCGTTTGAGTCGTTGCAACCCCATTCCCTTGTGTATATAATAAGTACAGATTGCTTTCATTAAGTCAATGTTTTATGTCCATTATCAAAAGAAATATGATGACCCTGATTTATACAGGGTCATCGTAAAGGAGTAGTGCATGTTCACTTTCAAAGTGAAGCTCCACTTTTCTTTGTGAATGCAATTTCCTTGTCAAACATTTTAGTCCAAATGTAAACTAAACTCTTGTAGCGCCAAGCCCCCCCCCCGGGCAGCTAGAATATACGGGTCTTCTGTCCCACACCAGTGATGACTCACCCTTACCTGGACACCAACACGCCATTTAGAATGGTCTATATTAAAACTAGCAATAAGCCCTGGAAAGAGATAAACTGGTTTACAGAATTGACAATATTAAATGCAATGATGCAATACAACAGCTCAGCAAATTAAATGGAATTGGTGTTTGTTCACTTTAACCGCCAGTGAAAGCCTTGTCTGAAATGCACTGAACGAGTGGTGAATGAAACTGTCAGTTGCACAATACAGAAATACTGTTCAGCCA